GGGCTCCAGACCCACCACGCTGGCTCAGCTGCCGCCGGGCGACCCTCAATACAGAACCCGCCATCGCGCCCACCGCGGGATCAGGAATGAGCGGAGGCCGAGCGCCTGCGGGAGCCGGGCGCTCCCTCACTGACCCGGGAAGGGCGGGGCGGGGGCGGAGCACGCCTTAAAGGGGCCACCGACGCCTGGGGGCAGAGGGCGGGGGGCCGCCGCGCGGGGCTGGAGCGAGGGCGAGACCGAAGAAGCCAAAGTGCAACGCCGGAAAGCTCTGAGACCTAAAGAAAACAGAGAACAGGAGACGCTGAAAGTGCGAGGGACAGACGCTCAGAGACACACAGACATACTCGTGTAGGAACAGAAGTAGAAACCCAAGGAGAGGCCCTAGTACACTCATAGCCTCGGGGCCGTTTTTTTTCTTTTCTTTTTTTTTTTATTTTGAAACAGAGTCTCGCTCTGTCACGCAGGCTTGAGTGCAGTGACTCGATCTCGGCTTATTACAGCCTTAAACTCCCACGTTCAAGCGATCCTCCAACCTCAGCCTCCTGAGTAGCTGCGCCTATGGCACGTTGCCACCACACCCGGCATATATATATATACACACACACACACACAGACACACACACATATAGATACACATATACACATATGTATATCTATATCTGTGTGTGAATATATATATAATTATTTGTTTTTTGCAGAGATGGAGGTCTCACTATGTTGCCCAGGCTGATCTCGAACTCCTGAGCTCAAGCGTTCCTCCCATCTTGTCCTCCCAAAGCGCTGGGATTACAGACGTGAACCACCGCGTCCCGTGGGGCTGTTTTCTAGCGGGTGGTAGGATAGTCATGGTTAGAAAAATATGTTCGGTTCCAGGAGGCAGAGGTTGCAGTGAGCAGAGATGAGGGCACCGCACTTTGGAATCACAGCAGTAGTGAGACTAGGAATTCCCACTCTCATCTGGAGGATCTATGTCGCTTTGAGATATCAGAGCAGCCTTAATTTCCAGCCTAGGGGCAGAGCTTTTTTTATTTTTAATTTTTAAATATTTTTGTAGAAACAGGGGTCTTGCTATGTTGCCCAGGCTGGTTTCCAGCTCCTGGCCTCCCAGGTCCTCCCACCTGGGCCTCCCAAAATGCTGGGATTATAGGTATGAACCACCGCGTTATCCTGTCCCGTACAGAGATTCTGAAGAGGGGTTTCCCGCAACAACATTTATCTTAATTCTGGAGTTTCCAGGGCATGGTCCCTGGAGCTATTTTCAGAGCAACCTCTGTGTTAATGCCTTTACACAGAGAAGGCCTGCTTTTCCTTGAGCCTATCAAATTGCTTCATTAAAATTTTATGTGGCTGGCTGGGCACAGTGGCTCACACCTGTAATCCCAGCACTTTGGGAGGCTGAGGCGGGTGGATCACGAGGTGAGGAGTTCGAGACTAGCCTGACCAACATGGTGAAACCCCGTCTCTACTAAAAATACAAAAATTAGCCGGACGTGGTGGTGTGCACCTGTAATTCCAGCTACTCAGGAGGCTGAGGCAGGAGAATTGCTTGAACCCAGGAGGTGGAGGCTGCAGTGAGCCGAGATCGTGCCACTGCATTCCAGCGTGGGCAACAGAGACAGACTCCATCTCAAAAAAAAAAAAAAAAAAAAAGTACAAAAAATTAACTAGGAGTGGTGGGGCACGCCTGTAGACCCAAATACTTGGGAAGCTGAGGCATGAGAATCACTTGAACCCAAGAGGCAGAGGTTGCAGTGATCCAAGATTGCGCCTCTGCAACATAGCAAAACCCTGTCTGGGCAACAGAGCAAGAGTGTCTGAAAAAAAAAAAAAAAAAGGAAGAGAAGACACCCAGAACCCAGATAGTCTTGAAGCAGGTAGAGAAAAGCTCAGAGCTAATAAGGAAGGAGACCACTACTACTCCTGCTGCCCTCCTCCCCTCACCTTGCCTAGTTCACAAGACAGGAGGAAAGAGAGAAAGAAACAAAAGTAAGATAAATAGCCAGACAACCTTGGCATCACCACCTGGCCCTAGGAGTTAAACAAAGTAATAATAATAACATCAACCCCTGGCCTAAACTACTTGTGTTATCTGTAAATTCCAGACACTGTATGAAAAAAAGCATTTTAAAACTTTGTTCTGTTAGCTGATGCATGTAGGCCCCAGTCACGTTTCCCACGCTTGCTCAATTTATCACGACCCTTTCACGTGGACCCCTTAAAGCTATAAGCCTTTAAAAAGGTCAAATATTTCTTTTTCAGGGACCTCGGCTCTTACGACGCGAGTCTGCCGACGCTCCCGGCCGAATAAAAAACCTCTTCCTTCTTTAATCCAGTGTCTGAGGAGTTTTGTCTGCGGCTCGTCCTGCTACACTAAGAGAATGTTTCTCATTTATTCCAGGCATGAGGTTTCATGCATGTCTGGCTCAAGCGAGACAAAGCTGAGGACCCAGAGGTGACTCAGTCTGGCTGGTTGGGGAGAGAGGTAGGGACAGCAGGTCTGAGACACAGGGAGGTGTAGGGATTTGGGGAGCTCAGGGGAGGGAGGAGCCAGGGAAAGGAACTCCTTACTGAGAAGGTCCCCTAAATAAGACCTTCTCACCCCTGGCACCCTTTCCTGTTGTTTTTGCAGAATTTCTAGACCATTTATCTGTCCTTTGAAGACACACCCTAGATGGATGGGGTTTATAGGCTCAGCTGTGAGATGTTCTAAGAATTAGACTTGGCTTCACCCTTCTCAGCTGTAGCACCTTGGGCAGAAAACTTACCTTCTTCTGGGTTTCAATTTTCTTATCTGCAAAATGAGGTTGAAAACAGTTCAACAGCCTGCCATAGTACAGGTGCTCAATGGGAACTGCCCATCATTATTTTGTCACTATCCTTGACTTCCTACCTTTGCCACCTCCACCCACTTCCAGGCCCTGCTGAGTTAACCTGGTTTTCTTTTGTTTGTTTTTCAGATGGAGTCTTGCTCTGTCGCCCAGGCCAGAGTGCGGTGGTGCAATCTCAGCTCACTGCAACCTCTGCCTCCTGGGTTCGAGAGACTCTCCTGCCCCAGCCTCCCAAGTAGCTGGGATTACAGGTGCACGCCACCACACCCAGCTAATTTGTGTATTTTTAGTAGAGATGGGGTTTCGCCATGTTGGCCAGGCTGGTCTGGAACTCCTGACCCCAAGTAATCCACCCACCTCAGCCTACCAAAGTGCTGGGATTACAGAGGTGAGCCACCGTGCCCAGCCAGATTTAACCTATCTTAACTTGGCCACTTTTCCATCAGCACACCCTCTGCCCCATTCAATGGGCAGCAAAGCATAAACGCAAATTGCCCGGACTGCAGGGCCAGGCTGAGGGATTCAAATCCTAGCTCTGCTACTTCCTGGTTGGGATGACCTTCCCCTCCAAACCTCATTTTCCTCCTCTGTACAAGGATGATAGTAGCGTCTCCTCTTAAAACATTGCTATGGGGATTAAATAAATTAACCACATAAGGACAGCTTCCAGTGTATAATAAGTGCTAGCAATTAATACTGTAATTAATATATAACAATACCCTCACTGGTCTTCTGGCTTCTACTCTGCCTCCTTAAAATCATGGTTCTTGAAAATAGCTGTGGCCCTAGAGGCTGGGCACGGTGGCTCACACCTGTAATCCCAGCACTGTGGGAGGCCGAAGTGGGCGGATCACCTGAGGTCAGGAGTTTGGAACCCAGATTTGGCCTATGTGGTGAAACCCCCCATCTTTTACTAAAATACAAAAAAATAGCGGGCATGGTGGGGGTGGCCTGTAATCCCAGCTTACTCAGGGCCTGGAAGCGAGAGAATTACTGAAGCCTTGGAGGGTGGGAGGTGCAGTTGGAAGCCCGAGATCTTTGCCACTGCCACGGCAGCGGCTGGGCCCGAGCAAGAGCGAGACTCCATCCAAAAAAAAACAAAAAAAAAAGGGGGCGCAGTGGCTCCACGCCTCTTACATTCCCCAGCACTTTTGGGAGGCCGACAGAGTGGGTGCACGAGGTTCAGTGGTTCCAGGACCCAGCCGCCAACATGTGAAAACCCGCTCTTACTAAAATACAACATATAGCCTGGGTGTTGTGGTGAGCACCTGTGAATCCAGCTACTTGGGAGGATGAGGCGCGAGGAGACATCGCTTGAACCACGGAGGCAGAGGTTGCAATGCACAAGAATGCGCACTGGCACTCCAGCCTGGCGGAGCAGGGTGAGAGCTCCATTTCTTCAAAAAAAAAAAAAAAAAAAAAAGAGAGAACGAAGAGTCACTTCAAACTAATATAATGTGTGGAGCTCATTTAGATCTTGAGTCAAGCAAATCAAGTGTAATAAAAAGATATTTATGAGATATGATGTTTGACATTTAGCTTCAGAATCATTTGGGAAGAGTGGATTGGGGGTAAATGAAACAACACTAGTCATGAGTGAATAATTATTTAAAAAAAATTTTTTTAAAGATATGGAGTATTGCTCTGTTGCACAGGCTGGAGTGCAGTAACACAATCATAGCTTATTGCAGACTTGAACTCCTGGGTCAGTCCCACTCCCTATCCCAGTGAAATAGCTAGGACTACAGGCTGCCACTAAGCCAGGCTTTTTTTTGTTGTTTTTTGTTTTTGTTTTGTTTTTTTAAAGATGGGAAGGTGTCTCGCTATGTTTCCCTGGCTAGGATTTTTGTTTGGGTTTCTGGTTTTTTTGTTTGTTTGTTTGTTTGTTTTTGAGACAGAGTCTTACTCTGTTGCCCAGGCTGGACTGCAGTGGCTTGATCTTGGCTCACTGCAACCTCTGCCTCCCAGGTTCAAGCCATTCTCCTACCTCAGCCTCCAGAGTAGCTGAGATTACAAGCGTGTGCCACCACGCCCGACTAATTTTTGTATTTTTAGTAGAGACGGGGTTTCACCATGTTGGCCAGGCTAGTCTTGAACTCCTGACCTCAAGTGATCCGTCCACCTCCACCTCCCAAAGTGTTGGGATTACAGGAGTGAGCCACCGCGCCTGGTCCCAGTCTAGTTTGGAACTCCTGGGCTCAAGTGATTCGCCTACCTCTGCCTCCCCGAGTGCTGGGATTACAGGCACGAGATAGGGAGCCCGGCCTAGGCACTTTCTATTCTAAACACTTTCCATTGATTATCGTATTTAATCCTAACAACGCTCCATTTTATAGATGAGGAAACAGGCCTAGAAAGAGAGCTAGAAAGGGTCACACAGCTAGAAACTGGCACAGCCGGATTCCAAACCAGTTACCCAGGCAATGTGGCTCCAGTCCAAATAACCCCGCCAAACTCCCAGGGATCGCAGACCTTGCGGGTTATCGGGCTGGAGACCCACCCGTGCAGAGGACTTTTATGGGCATTTCCTGGTCCTTCCTGCACCAGGCAGGAAGGTGCACCGCCACTGCTCGGGAAGAATGCCGAGCTACATGCCACCCCAGGCCTAGCACCACGAGCATGGGCCAGGGCACCTCGGGACCACTCAGGCTTCCGAGGGGGAAGGTAGATGGGGACGTGGCTGAGAATCTTGAATCACCCAAGAGCGAGGTGTGCCGAGGCGCTATGCAAATAACGTGCCTTTTATTGGGCACTGGCTGTCTCTGAACCCGGAGTCCCGCCTCTGCCCTCTCTCGAAGAAATGGTCAGACTTTTTGCAAACGCCTTGAAGGGTGGAATTAGCAGCGAGCTCTTGAAACTGCCTCTGGAGATGGAACCCAGCGGAATTCTCGAAGAGAAGAAGGACATTAAAAAGAGGGGTGCATGTATTGATTTCCAAGCGCAGTTTGTCCATGTTAGTCTTGCACGTGCTTGACTCCAGTCAGCCACCGTAGGCCCCGCCACCGGCAGTGCACTTTCCGTCGATCCGGTAGCTTCGCGCTTGCTCACGAACTTGCCTGCCTAGCTGGCGCACCCAGCCCCTCCTTCCATTCCGTCTCCCCCCTGCGCAGCCTCTGCCAGCCGGCACTGCGCATGCTTTCTGACGCCCACTTTGGTCCAGCGTGGGAGGAGGGGATGGAAATGAGGTTGGGCCGAGCAGCTCGCGCGCGCTCCCTTCCCTGCCCTCCCCCGACGCCGGACGCGCGCCGGGCGGTGCAGCTTCGCTGGTCCGAGGGCAGTGCAGCAGCAGCGGCAGCGGCTGCGGCCGTGGCCGCGGCGGGAGGAGCCCGAAGCCCCGCCCCCGGGGAGGGGCCGTCCTGCAGGTGAGGGGGCAGGGATTCGGGCGCGGATACTGGCTTGCAGGCTGAATGCCAGAATCACCCCGAGGGAGAACGGTTGTGGTCCGGACGCCTAGATTCTGGAGGGGCTGTGCATTGGTGCCTGAGCCTCGGGAGGGTGCATCGATGCTTGAATGTCTGATTCGGAAGGGTGCATTGACTCCTTTACGCTTGGGACTCTGAGAGAGAAGTCAATTAGGGGTCTCTGGACCGCGACACATGCCAGGTTCCTTACGTATCTTCCTCCAGGTCCCCCCTCTATCCTCCAAGGCCCCATCCAAGCCAGGGATGAAATTTAACGGCAAGAAGGACGCAGTTGACGCGGCGTCAATGAACTAAGTCAAAAGCCGGGTAAAGCTAGGTCTTCGACGTGAAGCCTCGCCCACTGTGCTCATAGGCCCCTCCCCTGGGACGGTGATGAAAGACCTGCCCACTCCGCTCGAAGGCCCCCGCCTCCTGGGTCTAGTTTCAGAACAACAGACTTTGGTCCTATTTGTACAGCTCCGCCCATTCCAGGACTGCAGGGTCTGGTGGGGAAGGTCCCGCCCACTCTGCGCACAGGCCCCGCCCGCTCCGCGCTCAGGGCGGTCGCTGAGTTAGTTGTGGAGACCCCGCCCACTCTGCTCAAACACTTCAACCCTGGGTTTAGACAGCGAAGGGACTGCCTCTGGCTTGAATTTGCATAGCCCCGCTCACTGTGCTCTTAGGCTCCGCCCAACCGCTAAGCCCGCCCTCGCCTTAGCATCCCATACTTACAGACCTTGCTCCTAAACAGTCTGATCCCTCATTTTAGGCCCTCCAACCCTATCCCCATCAGGCTGGTAATCACCGCCGTCACCCCCAACCCCGCGCCCTGCCCCTAGGTTCCTGTGCCAGCAAGATGCTGGAGCGAGGCGCGGAGTCCGCGGCCGGGGCCACCGATCCTAGTCCCACTGGCAAGGAACCGGTAACCAAAGAAGGTGAGAGTGGCCCCGCCTGTGAGTAGGGAGCATTCTCCAGGAATAGGGGCCAAGATAATCACATTCTGGGGGAATCTCAGGGTGAAAGTTTGAGGGCCCCAGGGTGATGACTATCTGGGATCCCCAAAAATGGCCACGTTCTGGGAAATCCTCCCATTTGGCTCATAGAGAGCCTCAGTAACCATTTGCTAGGGCTCAGGAAATTACAGAAGGGACGGGGCAGGGATGACATGCGGGATGTCAGGGTGATCACTGGGAAGACACTAGAAACGGATACGTTGGTAGCTTTGAGGAAGCCTTAGGAGCTTTGGGATCCAGGAAAGTAACCCTTTGGAGTCCCTCAGAATGACGCCTGGGGGGAGGGGGAGCAGAAACATGCAATTTGGGGAGTCTCAATATGATGCTTGAGGTGCCCAGGTACACTTGGAGGAGCCCCTCGAATATCAAAGTCGTGGCGGAGCCTGGCCTAGGCCCAGGGCGTTGGCTGCTTCCTGGCGCCCACCAGCCCTCCTGTCCCCCAGCTCCCCACCAGGGCCCACTGCAGAAGCCCAGCCAGTCAGCTCCAGGGCCCACCGCGTCCGCGAGCGCGCCTCCCAGGCCTCGCCGGCGGCCCCCGCCCCAGCGCCCGCACCGCTGTCCCGACTGTGACAAGGCCTTCTCGTACCCGTCCAAGCTGGCCACGCACCGCTTAGCACACGGCGGCGCCCGACCCCACCCATGCCCAGACTGCCCCAAGGCCTTCTCCTACCCCTCCAAGCTGGCAGCCCACCGCCTCACGCACAGCGGCGCCCGCCCGCACCCGTGTCCACACTGCCCGAAGGCCTTTGGCCACCGCTCCAAGCTGGCGGCTCACCTCTGGACCCACGCACCCACCCGCCCCTACCCGTGCCCCGACTGCCCCAAGTCCTTCTGCTACCCTTCCAAGCTGGCGGCCCACCGCCACACGCACCACGCCACCGATGCCCGCCCCTATCCTTGCCCGCATTGCCCCAAGGCTTTCTCATTTCCCTCCAAGCTGGCTGCCCATCGCCTATGTCACGACCCCCCAACCGCACCCGGCAGCCAGGCGACGGCCCGGCACCGATGCTCCAGCTGCGGCCAGGCCTTTGGCCAGAGACGCTTACTGCTCCTTCATCAACGCAGCCACCACCAGGTGGAGCACAAAGGGGAGAGAGACTGAGCCCTCCCTTGGCTCACTGTCCCCCTCTGCCGCCAGCCCTCGCCAGTAAGAGGTGGGATTTCTAAAACAGACCGTATGAGCTCCCTCTTCCAGATAGCTGGCAGAGGGCAAGGCAAGGGATTGGCCATTTATACTGGGCTCGAACTCAGAAGCCCGAGGAACTCTTTGCTCCCCTGCTTTGGGGAGATCTCAAACCATGGACATGGAGCTGTGCTTTGACAGCCCTGGCTCTGCTTCTCCCCACGCACTTACATGGCAAAGGTAAAAAGTCTGCTACTATTGTGGGTTGATGAGGATTGTGGGTAAACAGGCTCTCTTGTTGTTAAAAGTTTAAATTGGTGTCTCCACTTTGGCCATATGACTGTATCTAAGAAACTGAAAATACATGCTTGTCTCAACTCTTCCACTTGTGGAAATTTATTCTATAAACTCATGTATGTGAAAAAAGCATAGTGTATAAGGGTGTTCACCGCAGTGCGACTGTTGTGGCCAAAGACTGGAAGCAACTCAAGTGCCCAAGAACAGAGGACCGACTATTGAATTATAGCCATGGAATGGAATAGGTAGCCGTAGGAAAAAAAAAAAAAGTGCTGTATGTACGGATGTGGAAAGATCTCCAAGATACACTTGGTGATAAAAGGGTATACCACTGACCATTTAAAGACATTCAAGGCCGGGCATGGTGGCTGAAGCCTGTAATCCCAGCACTTTGGGAGGCCGAGACGGGCAGATCACGAGGTCAGGAGATCGAGACCATCCTGGCTAACACAGTGAAACCCCGTCTCTACTAAAAAAATACAAAAAAAAAATGGGCGAGGTGGCGGGCGCCTGTAGTCCCAGCTACTCGGGAGGCTGAGGCAGGAGAACGGCATGAACCCGGGAGGCGGAGCTTGCAGTGAGCTGAGATCCGGGCCACTGCACTCCAGCCTGGGCGACAGAGCGAGACTCCGTCTCAAAAAAAAAAAAAAAAAAAAGACATTCAAAAGCCCAAGCTTCAGGTTGGGTGTGGTGGCTCACGCCTATAATCCCAGCACTTTGAGAGGCCAAGGCGGAACGATAGCTTGAGCCAGAAGTCCAAGAGCAGTCTGGACAACATAGCAAGACCCCATCTCTACCAAAAAAACAAAAGCTGGGTGTGGTGGCATGTACCTGTAGTCCCAGCTACTTGGGAAGCTGAGGTGGGTGGATCACTTGAGCTGGCAGGTCAAGGCTGCCGTGACCTGTGATCGTGCCACTGCCTTCCAGTCTGGATGACACAGCAAGACCCATCTCAAAAAGAAAAAGAAAAAAAATCCCAAGATTCAGAGCCATCCCTGACCCACTTCTTACTAGTTGCCAGGCCTTGGACAAGCTCTCTCACTTCTCTGGACTCAGATGCCTTTGCTGTAAAATGGGTGGGTTATAAGGCATTTGTAAGGGGCAAGCAACACCTCAGGCAAAGTCAGTTCCCCTCTTAGAGCCTGTTTCTCCCATTGTAAAATAAAGATGAGCAAGCTAGCATGGGACTACTCTTCATTCCACAAATATTAAGCACCTCCTGTGTGCTGGGCCCTGCATAGGGTGCTGGGGACACAGCAATGAAGACAGACCTTGTCTAGTGAGGAAAGTGGACACTAATTTTAAAAACCAGCAGCAGCAGGCCACGCAGAGTGGCTCAGACCTGTAATCCCAGCACTTTGGGAGGCCAAGGCAGGTGGATCACTTGAAGTCAGGAGTTCGAAACCAGCTTGGCCAGCATGATGAAACTCCGTCTCTACTAAAAATATAAAAACTAGCTGGGTGTGGTGGCGTGCACCTGTAATCCCAGCTACTTGGGGAGGCTGAGGTACAAGAATCGCTTGAACCCGGGAGGCAGAGGTTGCAGTGAGCCAAGGTTGCACCACTGCACTCCAGCCTGGGCGACAGAGACCCTGCCTCAAAAAAAAAAAAAAAAAAAAAAAAAAAAAAACCAGCAGCAGCCAAGTCGCAGCAGCCAAGTCATTCATTCATCTATGTATGTATGTATGTAGAGATAGGGTCTATGTTGCCCAGGCTAGTCTGAACTTCTGGACTCAAGCAGTCCTCCCACTTTGGCCTCCCAAAGTGCTAGGATTACATGTGTGAGCCACCATGCCTGGCCCCAGGTCCATTTAGAAGAACAAGTAGGAGAGCCTTGGCTCCCCACCCCCTCAACCCAGATACAAAAATTATTACAGAGCTGTGCAGTAATGAAATTGGTGGTGTTGGCTTGAAAACAGGTCAGTGGAAGACAACTGAGAGCTCAGAAACAGACCTGTGCTTATGCTGACATATGACAAACTGGACCTGTAGATCTGGGAGTGGCAACCTTTTCTATAAAGGGCCAAACAGTACAGACGGTACCTGACTTACAATGGTTTGAATCAGGACTTTCCAACTTTATGATGGGTTCATCTGGATGTAGCACCATTGTAAGTCAAGGAGCATCTTTTTTTTTTTTTTTTTTTTTTTTTTTTTGAGACAGGTTCTTGCTCTGTTGCCCAGGCTGGAGTGCAGTGGCACGATCACAGCTCATTGCCCTGCACTCCTGGGCACAAGTGATCCTCCTACCTCAGCCTCAGAAGTAGCTGGGACTACAGGCACACACCACCACACCTGGCTTATTTATTTTTATTTTTGAGACAGAGTCTTGCTCTGTTGCCCAGGCTGGAGTGCAGTGGCATGATCACCACTCATTGCAACCTCTGCCTCCCGGGCTCAAGCAATTCTCCTACCTCAGCCTCCTCAGAAGCTGGGATTTCAGGTGTGCGCCACCATGCCCAGTTAATTTTTGTATTTCTAGTAGAGATGGGGTTTCGCCATGTTGGCCAGGTTGGTCTCGAACTCCTGACCTCAAGTGGTCCGCCTGCCTTGGCCTCCCAAAGTGCTGGGATTACAGACGTGAGCCACTGCACCCAGGCCCCAGCTAAATTTTTTTTTAATTTTTTTGTAGAGATGGGGGTCTCACTATGTTGCCCAGGCTGGCCTCAATCTCCTAGCCTCAAGTGATCCTCCTGTCTTGGCCTCCCAATGTCCTGGGATTCCAGGCGTGAGCCACTGAGCCCAGCTGCATCTGTTACATTTTTAAGTTCTGCAGGCCATACAGTGTCTTCCACAACTATTCCACTCTGCCACTGTAGCAGGAAAGCAGCCACACACATTACAATACATAAATGAATGAGCATGGCTGTGTTCCAATAAACATTTACCAAAATTCTAAGTAGGCTGGATTTTGCCTATGGGCTGTAGTTTGTTGTGACCTGACATGGATGAGTGAAGGATGGACAGACTAATCAGTAAATAAGGCTAAGAGACATGGGGAAAAATTAAGTTGAATCCCCTGTTGTATAGAAGAATGATCCCCCAAAGATATCCACATTTGAATCCCCAGAACCTGTATGTTAGCTGGCATGTAGCAAAAGGGACACTGCAGATGTGATTGAGATGGGTAAGTTATCCTGATTATTCAGATAGGCCCAATATAATCACAAGGGTCCTTATATGGGAAAGAGGGAAGCAGGAGACAGAGAGAGGTGATCATAAAAGCAAATATTCGAATGATGGAAGACCCCAAGTCAAGGAATTTTGCCTACAAAAGGCAAGGAAATAAATTCCTCCTTAGAGCCTCCAGAAGGATTGCAACCCTGCTGACACTTGATTTTAGGCCAGTGAGGCTGATTTTGGACCACTGACCTCCAGAACTATAATAAAATTAACTTGTGTAGTCTAACGCCACTAAGCTTATGGCAATTTGTTATAGCAACAATGGGAAACTACTGCAGATCCCTATCTCACACCATATGCAAAAATACGTTTCTGGGAGTTTAAGATCTAAATTTGAAGAGAAAAACTCAAAAACATTTACATGGAAATAAGAATTATCTTAGTAACTCCAGAAGTAGAGACAATATCCTTAAGAGACAAAAGAGTATAAATCATAGATGAAAAGATGGGTAGGCCGGGCACGGTGGCTCTCACACCTGTAATCCCCCAGCACTTTGGGAGGCCGAGACGGGCAGATCACGAGGTCAGGAGATCGAGACCATCCTGGCTAACACGGTGAAACCCTGTCTCTACTAAAAAAATACAAAAAAAAAAATTAGCCGGGCGTGGTGGCAGGCGCCTGTAGTCCCAGCTACTTGGGAGGCTGAGGCAGAAGAATGGCATGAACCCGAGGTGGAGCTTGCAGTGAGCTGAGATTGCACCACTGAACTCCAGCCTGGGCGACAAAGCAAGACTCCGTCTCAAAAAAAAAAAAAAGAAAAAAAAAGAAAAAAAGTAAAAAGAAAAGATAGGTAAATGTGACCATAAATGAATGTAAAGTTATGACTAGGATGGATGAGATGTAGTATTTTAAGAGTGTGTACCTGGCATATCCTATTATACAGTGGAGGTTAGGAAAGGCCTTGTTGAGGATATAATGTTTGAGCTGAGATCTGAAAGTTGTGGAGGAAGGAGAAAGTAGAAAGTGTCCATAGACTAGATAAAGAACATGTGGTACATATACACCAGGTAATACTATGCAGTCATAAAATGGAATGAGATCACATCCTTTGCAGGGACATGGAAGGAGCTGGAAGCCATTATCCTTAGCAAACTAACGCAGGAACAGAAAACCAAATACTGCATGTTCTCACTTATAAGTGGGAGCGGAATGATGAGAACACATGGACACAGCTGGGCATGGTGCCTCACGCCTCTAATCCCAGCACTTTGGGAGGTGGAGGCGGACAGATCACCTGAGGTCAGGAGTTCAAAACCAGCCTGGCCAACATGGCAAAACCCCCTCTCTACTAAAAATACGAAAATTAGCTGGGCATGGTGGCAAACGCCTGTAATCCCAGCTACTCGGGAGGCTGAGGCACGAGAATCCCTCGAACCCAAGAGGCAGAGGTTGCAGTGAGCCAAGATCATGCCACTGCACTCCAGCCTAGGTGACAGAGTGAGACTCCATCTCACAAAAAAAAAGAACACATGGGGGGAACAACACACACTGGGGCCTGTCAGGGGGTGGGGGTGAGGGGCTAGGAAGAGCATCAGGAAGTATAGCTAATGGATGCTGGGCTTAATACCCAGGTGATGGGATGATCTGTGCAGCAAACCACCACGGCATACATTTACCTATGAAACAAAACTGCACATCCTGCACGTGTACCTCTGAACTTAAAAGTACGAGAGCCGGGCACGGTGGCTCACGCCTGTAATCCCAGCACTTTGGGAGGCCGAGGCAGGTGGATCACCTGAGGTCGGGAGTTCAAGACCAGCCTGATCAACATGGAGAAACCCCGTCTCTACTAAAAATACAAAATTAGCCGGGGTGGTGGCGCATGACTGTAATCCCAGCTACTTGGGAGGCTGAGGCAGGAGAATTGCTTGAACCTGGGAGCCGGAGGTTGTGGTGAGCCAAGATTGCACCACTGCACTCCAGCCTGGGCAAAAAAGTGAAACTCTGTATCAAAAAAATAAATAAAAATAAAAAATAAAAGTAGGAGAAAACAAAGTGTCCAGTATAAGGGCTAGGACTGAGCAGGTTGCTGTTCTGTACTCTACTCAGGCCTTTCGGGGAAGGTTCTGGGAGGGGTAAGGGGTCTACTCTGTCCTCCTAACCCAGCAGTGCTGCTTGTATCCACGTTTATACAGAGAGCTGTGCTGTATATGTGAGCTGGAGAGTTTCTCCAAAGCAACCGCACCAGCAGCAAAGTTTCAAAGACACATACTCATTTGAGAGGGCGTTGATCTGATCCAACCTTACTTTCACAGATGGGGGAAATGAGGCCAGGAAAGATGAGAATTATTGGCAACCAAACCACAGGGCAGTGCCTGAGTCTAGGTGGATCCTGGGTCTCTTGATAGCCTGACACCCACCCAGCTGTTCCTTGAACACGTAATGCGCGCTCCTGCCTCAGGGCCTTTGAACTTGCTTTTCCTCTGCCTGGAAGGGCTCTCTCAGATACTCCTTACTTCTCCCAGGTCCCTGTAAGTCCTCCGAGAGGCCATCCCCAATCACCCTATCTAAACTACCAAGACCTTACCATTGCTGTCACTCACGATGCTATGTTTTCCTTGCTCTCACAGCATTTCCCACTGTCCAAGGCTGCATTGCACATGCACCATCTCTGTCGCCCTGTACAATGTCAGGCCAATGAGACTGGGGACTACTGTCTGTTTTTTTCATACTGTCTTCCCAGTGTCTCCCACATGGTGGCTGTGGTAGGCAGAGTAATAGCCTCCCAAAGATGTTCACATCCTGGCTGGGCACAGTGGCTCATGCCTGTAATACAGCACTTTGGATGGCTGAGGCAGGTGGATCACCTGAAGTCAGGAGTTCGAGACCTACCTGGTCAACATGGTGAAACCTCGTCTCTACTAAAAATACAAAAATTAGCTGGGCATGGTGGCAGGCGCCTGGAATCCCAGCTACTCGGGAGGCTAAGGCAGAGAACTGCTTGAACTCAGGAGGCGGAGGCTGCAGTGAGCTGAGAATGTGCCACTGTACTCCAGCCTGGGCGACAGAGAGAGACTCAGTCTCAAAAACAAAAAACAGGGAGATTATCCCAAATGATCCAGGCAGGCTTAATGTAATCACAAAGATCTCTTGTTGCCCAGGCTTAAGTGCAATAACATGATCTTGGCAGACTGCAACCTCTGCCTCCCAAGTTCAAGCGATTCTCCTGCCTCAGCCTCCCAAGAAGCTGGGATTACAGGCATTTGCCACCACACCTGACTCATTTTGTATTTTTAGTAGAGATGGGGTTTCTCCATGTTGGTCAGGCTGGTCTCAAACTCCCAACCTTGGGTGATCCGCCTGCCTTGGCCTCCCAAAGTGCTGGGATTACAGGCGTGAGCTACTGCACCTGGTCTACAATCACAAAGATCTTTACATGTGGAAATACAGAACAGAAGAGTCAAGGTCAGGGTGATGGGATATGAGAAGGACTCAATAGGCCATTGCAGGCCTGGAATATAGAAGGGGAATGGAATGTGGGCGGCTTCTAGAAGCTGGAAAAGACAAGAAAGCAGATTCTCCCCTCAAACCTCCAGAAGGAACGCAGCCCTGCCTACCTTGATTTTTAGCCCAAGGATACCCATTTTGCACTTCAGACCTCCAAACCTATAAGATCATAAATTTCTATTGTTTTAAGCCACTGAGTTTGTGATAATTTGTTACAGCAGTAGCACAAAACTAACATGGTGAGTTATCGGTAGGAGTGTGAATGAGCAAATGAATGAGTAAACGTGAAGTCTAAAGCCACACTTAGCTGGGCGCGGTGGCTCAACACCTGTAATCCCAGCACTTTAGGAGGCCAAGGCGGGAAGATTGCTTGAGGCCAGGAGTTTGAGGCCAGCCTGGGCAACATAGTGAGAGTCCATCTCTACAAAAAAGAGAAAATTTCTCAGGTGTGGTGGTACACGCCTGTAGTCCCACCTACTCAGGAGGCGGAAGCAGGAAGATCGCTTGGGCCCAGGAGATCGAGGCTGAGTAAGCAGTGATTGCACCACTGCACTTCAGCCTGGGCAACAGAGCAAGACTCTGTCTCTAATAATAATATAAAACCATCCTCATCAGAAAGAGACAGGAGTGAGACTGGTAACCCTTGGTTGATGAGGCAAAAGTTGGGAAAGGGCTTGGAATGTCCAAGAAAAGGTTACCCAAAGGTCAGATCTCAAACCTACCTCTGACCCTCGCCTCTGTCCTGTTCAAACCCCCTCCTAACCTTCCCACCCTCAGATTAAAGTCCAGGCTTCTCAGCCTGGAGTTCACAGACCTTCAGGCCAGCCCTGTCCAAAAGACCTTTCTAGAGTGATGCAAATGTTCTCTGTGCTGCCCAATACAGTAGCCACTGGCCCAATACAGTAGCCACTGAGCAACTGAAATGCATGGCCACTGTGACTACAGAAGTGAAGTTTACATTTCATTTCATTTCATTTTAATTATTTTAAATAGCTACCTGTACCCAGTGGTGATCACACTGGACAGCAGAGCTGCAAGGACTGTGCCTGGCTTTCTAAATCTGCCCCCAAAGCCTCTTCACCAAAGGCAGCAATGTTCTTCTGCCTGCCTCAGGCTGCTTCCCACCTCCTGACCCATGCTGTGGCCTCTGCCTAGAGCACCATCCCATCTTCTGCCCTGATTCCCTCACAATCAGCTCAATTCCCACTTAAACGTGGTGGAGCCTTGAAGGGGGTCCAGGGTTTGAGTGGGTTGCTTAAAATGTCCTTTCCTCCCATTCTACCTCCTAAATTAGGTGATGTAAAACCATGGTGGTGACATTCATTATACAGCTACTTCTGAAAACCCTGGAGGAAAGGCACTATCCCTGGCCTGGGGATGCTGAGGCTTCAGGAGAGAGACGGGCCTCATGGGTACCGAGGCCTCCCGCCACGAAGGGACAGCCAAGACACAGGTGTGGCTCACAGGGCCAGAACAAGTTGAGGGGCAGTGCTGAGAGTCAGATTCCCAGTTCCCTGCCTCTTGCCAGCACAAGGATAAAGAGCCAAGCAGAAGAGACAAAGGATTCCTTTTCTACTAGATCTCTGATGGAGATGCCCAGCATTCTTCCCCAGGTCCCAGGGAGCCTCTTAGCGTTTTGGGAGACTCCTGGGTGAGAATAGGCAGCTGCTCCAAACCAACTCATCTTTATTAAATGCATCGTGTGTGTGTGTGTGTGTGTGTGTGTGTGTGTGTGTGTGTGTGTAGCACATACTTCAGGCCTGTGGCACCACTCCATAGAGCTGGTGAGGAAGTAACTTCTGTTTCTCGTTGCAACTGTAGATCCATCGGGGACGAACAAATGCCAGGGAGGGGTTATCCATCAAGGCCTGCAAGGTGGGGTGGAGTCCATACAGGAATGTATCATCAAGGGGAGGACGGAGGAGATGCAAAGGTGTGCCAGGGTCTCCCATTCTCTGCCTCTTTGGTACTCACCTCCTCAAAGCTGGGATCCCATTCCTGTGCCGTGATCACAAACTGAACCCGGTCGCTCATATAGTCCTCGAGTTCCCTGGTGGGAGAGAAGAAAAGAGGTAGAAGGCACATCAGGGAATCAGCACTGACATCCTACTCCCCAGCCACTCTCAATGGCTGTCCTCACACTGTCTCCACCTATTCCCCCCTAGGCTGCCTGTGGTGACTCCATTCTTCCATGTATCCATCTTGCCATAGCTACAATGACCAGAGCTCCCACAGTGGCTAATCCTCAGGCCAGCCCTTTCAGAAGCAGGGGTAGGGGTAGGGATCCTCACTGTAGAGAAGAGGAAACTGAGGCAAGCAACGTATCCTGGGCTGCCGGCAGTGGGCAAGCTGGCATTCGGATTCCATGGCCTGTGCTCACCTGCTGGGCATGGCCCTTCTCCATCCTTCTGATGGTCTTCTTTCCCACACCCCCACCCCTCCCAGCAGGTCCCTGAGCCCTCCCCTGGACCCATCACCCCTTCCCCACCCCAGTCCCTGGAGATTCACCCATTGAAGGCGGTGACATATCGGATGAGTTTCCGCCGCTCATCACCCGGGAACTCCCCGTAAAGGAAGAAGTGCTTCCCCTGGAAGAAATCTGCAGGAGAGAAGGGGGCTAAGGTAAGCATGAGGCCCCAGGAGTTCCCAGGACCAGACAGGAGTGACAAGGCTGACCCAGCAGCTGAGGAGAGGGCTGTCCACATGTGGGCAGGGATTGATGGCGGGCAGTGGCCCCTGCCCAGCGGCCCATCAGAGCCTTCTGGGGAGGTAGGCAGGTTGGTTGGTTGGTTTGCTTTAACAGTATAAGATACAATGACTATTATTGCGATTTGTTTCTGACAGACAGGCGGGAGCCACTTATCTCTCTCTCTCTTTCCTTTTTAAGACAAGGGCTCACTCTGTCACCCAGGCTGGAGTGCAGTGGCGTGATCTTGCCTCACTGCAACCTCTGCCTCCTGGGCTCAAGTGACTCTTCCATCTCAGCCTCCCCAGTAGCTGGGATTGCAGGTGTGTGCCACCACGCCCGGCTAATTTTTAAACTTTTTGTAGACAGATGGGGTATTGACATGTTACTCTTGGACTCAAGCAATCCTCCCACCTCAGCCTCCTGAGAAGCCAGAACTACAGGTGCACACCACTATGCTCAGCTAATTTTTAAAACTTTTTGTAAAGACGGGTGGGGGGAGGGGCGGTCTCGTCTCACTATGTTGCCCAGGCTGGTCTTGAACTCTTGGACTCAAGCAATCCTCCCACCTCGGCTTCTCAAAGTACGGGGTGAGCCACCATGCCTGGCCTGCCTGGAGCCACTTAATGAGCTTAGTCCAGGCTGGAAACATCAGTATCTGCCACTTCTTCACCTTTGCTCTCCTTTCCAACCAGTGCCTTTCTTGCTCTGACCTTTGGGGTTGCTCCTTTCCATTTTAAGGTGACTCTCTAGGCCATCAATTTGCTGATGCCACTTTAGGGGCTTTGGAGAATCAAAGCATCTTCCTGCCCATCACCCAAGAGAAACTGGCTGGAAACGGCTCTTCTGGAAGTCCACGAACCACACCTCTGCACAGCCCCTGGCTGCCTTTCCTCTGCTCCCTTCATTCTCAAACAAGCTCTACCTCCCTGCCCCCCATCCCACAACTCCCTGCAGAGTTTCCCCATTCTCTTTCGTTCTTATTTTACACTGGAAATGCACACACACAATGTGTGCAGACAGCATCCATGTCCAGAGTGATGGCTGATGTTAAAGCCAACACTGGTGTGCGCCCACCCAGGGCCTAACAGAGAGCAGTGCCCCTGTCACCTGGTGTGCCCGGCTTCACCCCAGACCAATAGAACGGCACCTGGGCAAGTGAATCACTAGCATGAGGGTGGGGCCCTCACCCCTGATGTGAAAAAAAGGAGGTCACACCTGGCACATGGCTGCAAGGGGAGTGGTCAGAACAAGAAATCTGGAGGGGAGAAAAAGGCAAGACACAGAGAGGATGCTGAAGGGAAGGGAACAAGCCTAGCAGAACCTGGAGGTGCTGAGGCAGGGAGTGGGTTGAGGAAGGAGAGGGGAGGCAAGACACAGGGACAGCAGTGACCCCAGGGTTGGCCAGGGCAAGTCCCAGTTGAGAACTGAGAAGGGAAAATGCTGCTTCAGGAGGGATGGGGGGATTTCCCACCTGGGAGCTCAGGGACTGGCAGATCAGGTGGCTCCTGGTGTTCCTCATCGTCCGTGTTCTCATCCGTGGAGCCCGCATACGGGTCTTCCCCGTTCTCCTCCTGGACAGGGGGTGGTCTGTGTTCCTTCTGCTCAGCCACCCTGGGGGTGCCAAGAGGAGTAGAGAGTGAGTATGCAGGGCAGCCTCCCCTACACCCAAGGCCAGGGACACCCCAACCCCCAGCCCTACCTCCTCAGCTCATCCTCTGTGTCCCCAGAATCTTCCGCCCCGTTGTCCTGTCCTTCTACAAGTAGAAGCTCAGTCAGTGCAAGGCTGCCTTATCTCCTAGGAAGACTGGCAGCTCTCCCAGCGTGGCACAGACCCAGGCATCTCATGCCCCCGGCCTAAACTGCCCTCCAGATCCAGTCATCTGGGCCCCTACCCCTTCCTCCCTCAGACCCAGGAGTCCAGGCCCCAATCCCTCCTCCCTCAGACCCAGGAGTCCAGGCCCCCAGCCCCTCCTCCCTCAGACCCAGGAGTCCAGGCCCCAATCCCTCCTCCCTCAGACCCAGGAGTCCAGGACCCAGCCCTTCCTCCCTCAGACCCAGGAGTCCAGGCCCCAGGCCCTCCTCCCTCAGACCCAGGAGTCCAGGCCCCAGGCCCTCCTCCCTCAGACCCAGGAGTCCAGGACCCAGCCCTTCCTCCCTCAGACCCAGGAGTCCAGGCCCCAGGCCCTCCTCCCTCAGACCCAGGAGTCCAGGCCCCAGGCCCTCCTCCCTCAGACCCAGGAGTCCAGGCCCCAGGCCCTCCTCCCTCAGACCCAGGAGTCCAGGACTCAGCCCCTCCTCCCTCAGACCCAGGAGTCCAGGACTCAGCCCTTCCTCCCTCAGACACAGGAGTCCAGGCCCCCAGACCCTCCTCCCTCAGACTCCCAGACCCTCCTCCCTCAGACACAGGAGTCCAGGCCCCCAGACCCTCCTCCCTCAGACACAGGAGTCCAGGCCCCCAGACCCTCCTCCCTCAGACTCAGGAGTCCAGGCCCCCAGACCCTCCTCCCTCAGACTCAGGAGTCCAGGCCCCAGCTCCTCCTCCCTCAGAGTCTGACCTGACTGTTCCCCCTCAATGTCTATATCTTCCTGGAGCACTGGTGAGGCTGCTTTGGTCTCTTCAGGGGATGGGGGCTTCTGGGGTAAGCTGGGTCCCGTTGCCTGAGTGGGTTTGGTTTTGGTCTGAGGGCGCTGAGGAGGGAGAGTGGGTGGGTGAGGAGGGCAGGAACAGTGTGGGTATGATGCAGGGGTACCTGCAAGAGGCAAGAGTGGGAAGTTTGGGGTGCCACAGCAGACCCATGTCATCCTCCCACTACACCCTCCCCCACTGGACAGGGGGCATCAGACCTTTCGAGGAAGCTTGGGGGCTTCATCTCCACTGCTGCCGCTGTGAGAGGCCTCATCCTCCTCGCTGCTGGAGCCTGGCCCTGCCATGAGGTACCTAGGGGAGGAATCAGGCCTCAGACAAACAGGCCCGAGGGAAGTGGGGAGGGCATTCAGGAGACAACAGCCACTGGTGTTTACTAAATACTCACTCTGGTGGGCTTCATGGTCTTGCTCCCAGCCCATTCCCTCCCAGCTCAGGAAGGCCCCAGTGAACCCAGTCAGCCCAGTCACCTGCCCTGCAGACCTGGGCACCCCCTTTCTTCCCCTCCCTCTTTTTTTTTTTTTTTTTTTTTTGAGACACAGAGTCTCATTCCATCACCAGGCTGGAGTGTAGTGGTCTGATCTCGGCTCACTGCAATCTCCGTCTCCAGGTTTGAGCGACTCCCCTGCCTCAGCCTCCCTAGCAGCTGGGATTATAGGTGCACACCACCACGCCCGGCTAACTTTTTATATTTTAGTAGAGACGGGGTTTCACCATGTTGGCCAGGATGGTCTCGATCTCCTGACCTCGTGATCCGCCCCCCTCAGCCTCTGAAAGTGCTGGGTGTGAGCCACCACTCCCAGCCTTTTTTTTTTTTTTTTTTGAGACAAGATCTCACTCTGTCACCCAGGATAGAGTGCAGTGGTGTGATCTTGGCTCACTGCAACCTCCACCTCCCGGGGTTCAAACGATTCTTCTGCCTCAGCCTCCCCAGTAACTGGGTTAACAGGGCATGTGCCACCACGCCTGGCTAATTTTGTGTTCTTTGTTTTGTTTTTTAAGTATATACGGGGTTTCACCACGTTGGCCAGGATGGTCTCGAACTCCTGACCTCGAGTGATCCACCCACCTCAGCCTCCCAAAGTGCTGGGATTACAGGCATGAGCCACTGCACCCGGCATTCCCCTCCCTCTTGGGGAAGAAATGTCTCAATTCAGAAAGGAACGAAAAATCAGAACTTTCCCCTTTGAGAATCAAAGTCAGCTTCTCATTAGGAAAATACCCACCATTTAAGGGGAAAATCTCAAAGCAAATACGTTTTAAAGACCCCAACACTATAATCATGGTTCCTTAAGCCACTAACATTCCAGGAAAAGAATTTTCCCAGCTCTAACAACAGTAGCAGATTGACACTTACATGGGACTTCCTACATGCCAGGTAGCACATGACAAATACTGAGTCACTGAATCCTGAGGTAGGTGCTATTTTTAGCCCCATTTTACAGATGAGGAAACTAAGGCACAGAGAGATTATTTAATCTGCCCTAAGCCATAGGAAGGTATGCAGAAGCAAATTAATGTATTAGTTCCATTTTTCTGAGACATACGTGTTAAGACCCTTCTGCATTTAATTTGGTTGTTTTAAAGCTGGTGAAATGCTGTTTGGGTAAGTCACACTCATAAAACGGTGCCTTACAGGAGATTCAGAGATTTTAAAATGTAGTAGTTCATTAACAGTCAATAGTCGGCTTATTTTTTGAGACAGAGTCTCGCTCTGTCCCCAGGCTGGAGTGCAGTGGCGTGATCTGACTCACTTCAACCCCCACCTCCCAGGTTCAAGGGATCCTCCCACCTCAGCCTCCAGAGTAGCTGGGGCTACAGGTGTGCACCACCATGCCCAGCTAATTTTTGTATTTTTTGGTACAGATGGGGTTTTACCATGTTGGCCAGGCTGGTCTCAAACTCCTGACCTCAAGCGATCCACCCGCCTCGGCCTCCCACAGTGCTGGGATTACAGACGTGAGCCACCGCACTCGGCCCAATTTTTATTTTTGAGATAAGGTCTTGATTTGCTGCCTAGACTAGAGTGCAGTGGTGCAATCATGGCTCATTGCAGCCTCAACCTCCTGGGCTCAAGTGATCCTACCACTTCAGCCTCCCAAGTAGCTAGGACTACAGGTATGTGCCACCATACCTGGAAAATTTTTTTAATGTTTTGTAGGGATGGGGTCTCACTACGTTGCCCGTTTCATATAGTTAATTTTTTTTTTTATTTTACAAATGAGTACAAGCCAGAATTTTTAAAAATATAAAATGCTTTGTGAATTCTTTTTGTTAAGACCAGTTGCAAATCCAACATTGTCTGTCTTTTTCCCTTTTCTTTCATGCCCTCCTTAAGCTCTCCCAGGTAGATAATAACGCATATCTGGTTCCTTCTGCCCCAAATATAGCACCAGCCCATCCCCTCTTCTGTTCCTGAGGCCCCAGCCTACTCAGGAGTCCCTACCTGCAGCCTCCCCTTGACAGTCCATCCCTCCCAACAGAGCCCGCCTCTGCTGCCATCAAACCTTCAGTGATTCCCCTCTGCTCACAGAGGAGGGCCCTGGAGCCGGATGGGCTTCAGAATTTTCTTTTTTTTTTTTTTTTGAGACGGAGTCTCGCTCTGTCGCCCAGGCTGGAGTGCAGTGGCCGGATCTCAGCTCACTGCAAGCTCCTCCTCCCGGGTTTATGCCATTCTCCTGCCTCAGCCTCCCGAGTAGCTGGGACTACAGGCGCCTGCCACCACGCCCGGCTAGTTTTTTGTATTTTTAGTAGAGACGGGGTTTCACCGTGTCAGCCAGGATGGTCTCGATCTCCTGACCTCGTGATCCGCCCGTCTCGGCCTCCCAAAGTGCTGGGATTACAGGCTTGAGCCACCACGCCCGGCCCAGAATTTTCAATCTTTCAGATTTCAGAGAGGCAAATGGCTGGCGTACAGATTGTTACATAAACTCCCAGTAGGGCATGGGGGAGCACCCCATGATCAAACCCACTAATATTTCTGTAGTTAAGACCATGACACACTTAAGGGGATAAAAAAAAAAGTCCGCAAATAGCCTCACATTAGTTCAGGATGACTGCAGCGAAATGAGTTTGTGCTGAACCTAGAAAAGAACTTTCAGCTTCTAGAGATGTTTGGATTCCTGAACAACAGATGAGGGTTCTGTGAAGCTGTATGGAGCCCAGTGTGTAGGCCGGGCTCCAGAAGCCCCTTCTGACCTGAGCCTACCCACCTCGCAGCCTCATTATCCCCCAAGGCAGATCATTTCTCAAATACACCAGGTACAGCTAACTTCTGAACACACTCAGGCCATAGAGTACAATCCAGTCTCCCCTCCAATCCACAGGCCTCAGATCTGAGCCTGCTGTGCTCAGTCCAAAGCCTTCTGTGGTTCCTACTGCCCCAGTCCCATTTTTCCTGCCACTTCTTGCCCCCACGTAAGCTCAGCCTCACCTACAACTCCTCCAGGCAGCCAACAGGCTGCCCTGACCTTGTCTCCTCTGCCCAGCATGTTCTCTGCCTCTGTTCAGCCTGAAAAATCTCTCCTGGGACCTTGAAGACCCCTCGCTCTCTGCAGGCCACCCCATAGAGCTTCCACTCCACTGTAACAATTCTGATCCCTCATCAAAGTGAGAAGCCTTCAAGGGCAGGGCTCAATGACTGGATCCTCAGCCTTGCACAGTCCAGCCTGGCACCAAGCAGAGGCTTCTGGGACTCATTTTAGTTTTTGAGGGTTTTTTTGTTGAGATGGAGTCTCGCTTTGTCCCCCAGGCTAGAGGGCAGTGGTACAATTTTGGCTCCCGGGTTCAACCGATTCTCCTGCCTTAGCCTTCCAAGTAGCTGGGATTATACGCATGCACCACCACACCCAGCTAATTTTTGTATTTTTAGTAGAGACAGCGTTTCACCATGTTGGCCAGGCTGGTCCTCGTACTCCTGACCTCAAGTGATCCACCTGCCTCAGCTCCCAGAGTGCTGGGATTACAGGCATGAACTACTGCGCCGGGCCTCACTTTGAATGAATGAATATGGACCCCAGCACTTGTTCTACCACCCCTGAGTCTTTGCACAAACTACTCCTCCAGATTTTTCTGATAAGCAGGCTTCACAGAGCCCTGTGACCTCCCAGGCAGGTCCTCATTCCCTCATCTGGAGTATCCCAGCCCCTGCCCCACTCCTCTCAGTAATCTGTTGATTCTGGACTGGGACCACGTGTGTTTCCGCTGGCAGGCTCCGGTCTGACTTCTCTCCAGATCCCTGGCATTGCCCAGCACAGAATAAGGAGCAGGGTTGGTGTGTGTGTGGCCTCACCTTCGGGAGGGCAGCCGCCGACGCATGCGGTGACAGTCCAGCACCCACTCCTTACGCACGATGCGGCCTCCCAGGCCTAGGACCTGGCTGTACTTGGGGGTGTTGGCAAAGGCACAGCTGGTGGGGGGCAGAAGTGAGGATGTCAGTTAGGTGTGATAGGGGCAAAGGGGAATGAGAGAGACAGGGGAGACAGAGGGAGACAGAGAGAGAGAGAGAGAGATCGTGAGATCGAGGTGGGAGAAATAAAAAGAGGTTGGAGACCAAGGGAGAGATGCAAAAATCAGAGAGAAGACAAAGGCTACAGAGTGCAAGCGAGAAAGAAAGCGAGTGAGAGAGAGAGAAAGCATGCAGCATAGTGGACACAGAGAAAGCACAAGGTGGAGGAGACACAGGAAGCTGAGGGAGAAACTATAGCGGCACAGACAGTGGGGTGCTAGCCTACATGAGATGCGTGCTGTCCTGGGTCCAGTCTGGCCGGTACTTGGCCCCAAGCTCTAGGGCCTTATCTCGCAGCTCAGAGCGGAATGGGTTCTGGAAGCCACTCAGCACCACTACCACACCCTGAAGGATCTTCCCTAGCTCCTCTGGGCCAGCTCGGGGTCGTCTGGGCTCGGTGCCTTCTCCTCGGGGCTTGCCTGTCACTGCCCCCTGTGCTGGGGCAGGGACTGGCACTGCGGCTGGGGTACGAGTGGGAGCTGGTACTGGAGAAGCCAAAGAGTAGATTCAGTTACCACCACTGGGGCTCAACCCCCAGGCCCTCCTCCCTCAGAAATCCAGGCCCCAGCCCCTCCTCCCTCAGACCCAGGGGTCCAGGCCCCCAGCCCCTCCTCCCTCAGACCCAGGGGTCCAGGCCCCCAGCCCCTCCTCCCTCAGACCCAGGGGTCCAGGCCCCCAGCCCCTCCTTCCTCAGACACAGGGGTCCAGGCCCCCAGCCCCTCCTTCCTCAGACCCAGGGGTCCAGGCCCCAACCTCTCCTCCCTCAGACCCAGGGGTTCAGGCCCCCCAACCCTTCCTCCCTCAGACCCAGGGGCCCAGGCCCCAGCCCCTCCTCCCTCAGACCCAGGGGTCCAGGCCCCAACCTCTCCTCCCTCAGACCCAGGGGTTCAGGCCCCCAACCCCTCCTCCCTCAGACCCAGGGACCCAGGCCCCAGTCCCTCCTCCCTCAGATTCAGGAATCCAGGCCCCCAGCCCCTCCCCCTCAGACCCAGGGGTCCAGGCCCCCAGCCCTTCCTCCCTCAGATTCAGGACAGCAGACTCCAGCCCCTCTTCCCCTAGGCCACAGGAGCACAGGCTCCTATGGGAACAAGGGATCTAGTTAGCTTACATTTAGGTCTCTTGGGAACAGATGGCGACAGCTGGGCTGGTGGTTTGCTGGGGGTCTTCTTTTCTTCTTGGTTCAAATCCAACTTCCTCTTCCCTTTGGGAGACTCCTGGGGCTGAGGGGATGGGGATGGGTTGAGGCCTCCAGCTTCTCTCCTCCTCCACCCCACCAAAGTCTGATGATTTCACCTTGGAGGTGCTGCCTATGGCCCTGGAGACTGGAGAGGCTGAGGAGGCAGCACTAGAGGCCTGGAGGGTAGCAGCTGCATAGCTGGGTCCTGCTGGGTCGCTGGCTGTGACTATGAAGGCAGAAAGTGGATTCAGGATGAGAGGGCTGAGCCCCAAGACCATTTCACTCCCATCTATGGGACACAGAGTACTGTTCCCAAATCCCACCCATGATCCAGGAGTCCCAGCCCCCAGACCCCTCATCCCTCAGGACACAAGAGGCCAGGCCCACCTTCCTCCACCCTGAGACCCCATACAGGACTCCACTACCCTCCTCCCTCAGACCCAGGAATCTGAGCCCCAGCCCCCTCTACCCTCAAACCCACGAGTCTAGGTCTCAACCCTACTCACTCAGGACCCAGGTTGTCCGAGCTCACCTGGGGATGTCTTGTTGATCCGGCTGAAGAAGAGAGCCCCCGGCCTCAAAGAGTTGGCACTCTCATCCTCCTCCTTCACACGGAACTGGCCGAGCTTGGTCACTGTCACCTTCTAAGGTCCCGCAAGTTCAGTGTTATAGGTGGGCTGCTGGCAGGTGGGGGTGGAGAGGCAGGGAGAAGGCCATGGGGAGCGACGGGTACAGCTTACCTGGGACGGGGCCTCTGCCTCATCTTTGTCTGGGGGGCTATGAAACCGTACAAAACTCAAGCCAAAGGGGGAGTCCTGGGAAAGGAGGGGTGGGAGTCAGGGAGTCTGGCCCAAGGACAGAGGCCAGGCTCAAAGACCCTTTCACTCAGGGAAACCCCTTCCTGGCTCTTTCCCTCTCATGAACACCCATGTTGAAGGAGGGGCCCTGGTGATGGTGATGACGATTATAGGATTTAGCTGCTGTGACTGAGCCCTAACTCTGAGTCTGGCTCCAAGCCCTTTTCACACGTTAGCTCTTTGAGCAATTGGCAGAGTCTGCTGGGTGTCCCAGCGAATCCACTGCCCTATGCACAAACTCCTGCCTGTGGAATGGGAGGGAGTGCTGCGTGCTACTTCCAGAACACAGAAGTGTTCCAGGCTCTCTCCTCCTCTGCCAGCTGGATGCAGGGCCAGAAAATGGGAGAAGCCTGGGTCCCTGCATGACCTCATAAGGAGAAGCCAGCTGACAGGCTAAACACTCCCCAGGACAGTTACCTGGGCAAGAAGCACACCTTTATTGTGTGGCATCATCACATACTCCAGTCTTACTGTTACCACAGCTTTTAGCATCCCCTAACCTACAGCAACCCTATAAGGATCAGGAAATGGAGGCCCAGAGAAGGTAAGTCACTTGCCCAAGATCACAAACCTAAAAAGTGGTATAGCCAGGATGTGAACTCAGTAATCAGACTCCAGACCTCCTGATGTTAACTACTAGGCCCACTCTACTAGGCCACCTCCCTAACAAGTCAGTTCCCCTCCTCCGATTGCCCTCTGAGATGCTACAGTTCACCCTTCCTAGATTCCCTCCAGGAGATGAAACTTCTCATTACAGGAAAGATTCCAAACCCATTTCGGGGAACGCAGGGATCCAGTCTCCCCATAATCCCAAGGGACACCAACTGTCTGCTCCTCCCCGCCCTATTGGCCCTCAATGTTGAGCAGACACAACATTGGCCCTTATTTCCCTCCTTGCCCGGGACCAAGGACTCTGCACCCTAGGTACCTTGCTGTAGGGCTGGCTACAGACAATTTTGACCCGGTCCCAGCGCTTCTCGGCGGCTGCCCGGACCAGCTTGTCAGGTCCAAACATGCGAACGCGGTGGGGGTTTGAGCCACTGCGGCTCTCAGAAGGGGACATGAAAGATGAGGTGACCAGAAGGACCTGGGGTGGGAGAAACCACAGTGAATGAGAACCAGGGCAGGTTGGCTTAGATGAGAACTTCTAGGGGCTGGGGAAGAGGGCACAGGGCCCATGTAGGGGACTAGGAGCCACTAGAATGTAGCTTGGGCCTTGATGGCCCCAGACCCTTCCTTTGTTTCTGGGCCTTGAGTCAGTCCTGCCCTGACACAGGCCCCACAGGGATCTTTTTATCCTCCAGATGTGAGCGACCCTTATCTAAATTCTCCCATGGAGTCTTCCATATATCTGGCAATACAGCAGGCTACATGTCCTAAGGAACTTTCCCAGCAGAGAATACTTGGTAAACTGGAACAATATTCAAACACCTTTTGGAAATGTACAGGTGAGTCAGCGGAAAGGCAAGGGGAATTACTAGAGGCTGGAAATGAGAGAACAGAATCCAAAGAGTCAGAGGAGCTGCACTAAGTATTAAGTGATTGTTTCTCAGCTCAACCCTACCCTCTACAACTCATCTCCGTGATTTGGGCCTGCACTTGGTAAACCACGTTTCTGCTTCTCTAGCTGATCATGACCAGGCTCTGCCAATAGGAGGAGCGAGAGAGAGAGGCTGCAAGGCTGCAGGAGGGAGGAGGGACCTGCTCCTCCTGCATTTGCAGATCCTGTGAGCATCACCCCCAGTTAAGCTTCAGCTTCTGCAGTGGTTCCTGCCTGCAGCAGCAGATGTATCCAGTTTGCAGTGTCCCAGTACCTCCAGAAACAGCCTCGTTCAGCCCCTCTCAGCAGCCGCTGGGGGAGAAAGCCCTCCTCAAATGATCTGAATTTCAGCTCCTGGGGCCCTACCTCCAAGTTTCCAAACATCTACGTTTTAACAATTCCTGCCCCTCTCTTTTGTTCCCCCAACCCTGGGAGTGGTAGCTACTCCCTGCTGATATGAAGCTTCTCCTTCATATCTTAGTCTTCCAGTAACACCTAGTTACTGGTTCTTTCTACTAAATTCTCTGTTAAAATAACTGGTGTGGTTTTAGTCTCCTGGCAGGACCCTGTCTGACCTGGCAGCACTAATGTTGGTAGTTTGTCATGGTGCTGATCTCAGGTGGCAAAAACTTGATTTTATTTACTATTTGTATTTTTTTAAGAAACAGGGTCTTTCTCTGTCACCCAGGCTAGAGTGCAGTGGTACGATCATAGCTCACTGCAGCCTCAACCTCCAGGGCTCAAGTGATTCTCCCACTTTGGCCTCTGAGTAGCTGGATCGAGAGATGCACAACACCACACCTGGCTAATTTTTTATTTTTTGTAGAGGCAGGGTCTTGCTATGTTGCCCGGGCTGGTCCTGAACTCCTGGCCTCAAACGATCCTCTCACCTCAGCCTCCCAAAGCTAAGGAATTACACGCATAAGCCACCACACCCAGCTAGAACTTGATCTTTAAGGGTTATGCACTTGGTGGTGAAAGAGAACAAGAGAGAAAACCCAGTCTCCAAGCAAGGGAGAATGGCATCTCAGAGATCCTCACCACATTGCACAGAACTGAGGACTCCCCAAAGGCAATGCCCACACTAGTTAAATGAACAGGAAATGCACCTGTGGAAAGAGTCCCTGGGAGGCCTGTCTGTCTTGGCCTTAGCTTGAGGGGACACCAAAGAAAAGGTGAAAATTCTTCTCTGGAGAACTCCTCACAAGTCTGTTCTCTCAAGGAATTTAGAGCAGAAATTCATGTTTGCAAACTGCATTGAAAAACTCAAGCTGAGGCCAGGCACGGTGGCTCACGTCTGTAATCCCAGCACTTTGGGAGGCCAAGGAAGGCAGATCACTTGAGATTAGGAGTTCAACATGGTGAAACCCCGTCTCTACTAAAAATACAAAAATTAGCCGGGCATGGTGGCAGGCGCCTGTTGTCTCAGCTACTCGGGAGGCTGAGGCAAGAGAATTGCTTGAACCCAGGAGGCGGAGGTTGCAGTGAGCTGAGATCACACCATTGCACTCAAGCCTGGGTGACAAGAGGCCAGGAGTTCGAGATCAGCCTGGCCAACATGGTGAAACCCCGTCTCTACTAAAAATACAAAAATTAGCTGGATGTGGTGGTGGGCACCTATAATTCCAGCTACTCGGGAGGCTGAGGCACAAGAATTGCTTGAACCCAGGAGGTGGAGGTGATGGTGAGCCAAGATTGCGCCACTGCACTCCAGCCTGGATGACAGAGCAAGACTCTGCCAAAAAACAAAAACCAAAACAAAACAAAAAGACTGGGCATGGTGTGGCTCACGCCTGTAATCCCAGCACTTTGGGAGGCCGAGGTGGGTGGATCACGAGGTCAGGAGATCAAGACCATCCTGGCCAACATGGTGAAACCCCGTCTCCACCAAAAATACAAAAAATTAGCTGGGCGTGGTGGCGCGTGCCTGTAGTCCCAGCTACTTGGGAGGCTGAGGCAGGAGAATCACTTGAACCTGAGAGGTGGAGGTTGCAGTGAGCCAAGATTGCACCACTGCACTGCAGGCTGGTGACAGAGCGAGACTCCATGTCAAAAAAAAAAAAAGATGAATGCAGCCACTTTTGGTTGGGTATATTTTGTTACTGACTTAGTCACTTAGTCTCTTTTCTAACTGACATGCTGTGAAATTTATAAAATTGAACAATAAAGCCTTTTGCTGAGAAAAACAGAACATAACCATAGCTCTTTTTGTGCGCAGCTGATTGTGCAAAGGAAACAAGAAAGACAATTATACAGAAGGGAAGCTTTCTCCCTGACCTTGACTATACTTATTTAGAAAAGGCCTGATTTGGAGCTGACAGGGAAGCTGCATTTTCGGTGACTAAAAGGGGTAAGGCAAGCTGTGGTTGGCAGCTGCTATCCACATGAACCGAGATTTCCTCTGAGGGTTAGACCACTGGCTTCCTTGGCTTTAGGTCCTTGCAACTTGGGCTGAACCATGCTACCAGCTTCCCTGGTTCTCCAGCTTACAGACAGTCTATCATGGGACTTTGCAGCCTCCATAATCATGTGACCCAACTCTTGTAATCCCTTCTATCTATATCTATATCTATAAACTATTGCTTCTATCTCTCTGCAGCACCTTGACTAATACAACTACCCATTCCATCTTACTAGAAAGACAGCGAAGGTAAATAAACATTCACATACAAGATATGATAAAATTTTAGCTAAAAATGTACTTATTCTGTCTTTATCATTATAAAGTAGAATTCTGGCCAGGTACAGTTGTCCATGCCTGTAATCCCAGCACTTTGGGAGGCCAAGCCGGGCAGATTGCTTGAGCCTGGGAGTTTGAGACCAGCCTGGGCAACATGGCAAAACCCCATCTCCACTAAAAATACAAAAATTAGCCAGGTACGGTGGCAGGTGCCTGTAGTCCCAGCTACTCAGGAGGCTGAGGTGGGAGGATAACCTGAGCCTGGGGAGGTTGAGGCTACAGTGAGCCATGATCATGCCACTGGACTCCAGCCTGGGTGACAGAGTGAGACCCTGACTTAAAAAAAATAAGAAATAATAAAGTAGAATTTTGGCCGGGCGCGGTGGCTCAAACCTGTAATCCCAGCACTTTGGGAGGCCGAGGCGGGTGGATCACGAGGTCAGGAGATCGAGACCATCCCTGGCTAACATGGTGAAACCCCGTCTCTACTAAAAATACAAAAAACTAGCCGGGCGTGGTGGCGGGCGCCTGTAGTCCCAGCTACTCGGAGGCTGAGGCAGGAGAATGGCGTGAACCCAGGAGGCGGAGCTTGCAGTGAGCCGAGATCGCGCCACTGCACCCCAGCCTAGGCGACACAGCGAGACTCCGTCTCAAAAAAAAAAAAAAAAAAAAAGTAGAATTTTGATCTAAATCCATTTGCCAAAAGAACACATAACCTTTTTTTTTTTTTTTTTTTGGCGACCGTCTCAGTTTGTCATCCAGGCTGAAGTGCAGTGGCATGCTCATAGCTCACTGCAGCCTCCACCTCCAGGGGTCAAGGGACCCTCCCACCTTAGCCTTCTGAGTAGCTGGGATTACTAGTATGCACCACCATGCCTGGCTAATGTTTTTATTTTTGGGACAGACAGGGTCTTGCCTTGATGCCCAGACTGGTCTCGAACTCCTGATTTCAAGTGATCCTCCCGCTTTGGCCTCCCAAAGCACTGGGATAACAGGCATGAGCCACTGCACCCGGTCAGAAGCTTCATTTGTTAAGATGTACCTTGTAGAGCAGAAAAAGCACTTGATAAGATTCAATACACATTCATGAAAAAAAAAAAAAGCTCTCAACAAACCAGAAATAGAAAAGAATTTTCTCAACCTAACAAAGGACATCTATAAAAAACAAACAACCTATAGCTAACACCATATTTAATGGTGAAGGACTCAACGCCTTCCCCCTAAGATCAGGAACAAAGCGAGGATATCCACTTCCACCACTTCTATTCAACATTGCACTAGTCAGTGTGACAAGGTGAGAAAAAGAAAAAAGAAAACTATCTTCTTTCACAGATGACATGATTGTCTATGCAGAAAATCCCAAGAGATCGAGACAAACTACAAGGTTTAGTAAGTGAAGGTCACAAGATGAGAAGTCAATATACAAAATCAACTGTATATTACACATCATTTCTGTGGTATTCTGGCCAAAGTGTGCAACCTAAATTAATCACAAGGAAACATCATATATTTTGTACAGTAAGTGATATCTGACAAAATCACTGACCTCTACTCTTCAAAAACATCAAAGGCACACACCCAAAGTCACAGGAGCCTTCATTCCTTCCGTTCTCCCTCTCTCCCTCCTTCCCTTTTATTTTTTTTTTGAGATGCAGTTTCACTCTTGTCGCCCAGGCTGGAGTGCAATGGTGCGATCTCGGTTCACTGCAACCTCTGCCTACCAGGTACAAACGATTCTCCATCTCAGCCTCCCAAGTAGCTCGGATTACAGGCCTGAGCCACCATGCCTGGCTATTTTTTTTTTTTTTTGTATTTAGTAGAGATGGGATTTCTCCATGTTAGTCAGGCTGGTCGCGAACTGCTGACCTCAGGTGATTCACCCACCCCGGCCTCCCAAAGTGCTGGGATTACAGGCGTGTGCCACCCACGCCCAGCTTCTTTCTTTCTTTCTGTGACAGCGTTTTGACGTTGTTACCCAGGCTGGTCTCAAACTCCTGAGGTCAAGTGATCCACCTGCAGTGGCCTCCCAAAGTGCTAGGATTACAGGCATGAGCCACCACACCAGGCCTTCTTTTTATTTTTTAATAGAGACGGGGTCTCAGTATGTTGCCCAGGCTGGTCCCTAACTCCTGGGCTCAAGTGATCCTCCTACCTCAGCTTCTTAAAGTTCTCGGATTACAGGCGCGAGCCACTGTGCCTGGCTGTCACAGGAACTCTTTTTAATGAATGGAAACCAAGGAGATGTGACAAATCAACGCAATGCATGATTCTGCATTTTCTTTTGCTGTAAATAACATTATCGGGGCAATGAAGAAAATGTGAAGAAAGTCTGAGATCAGATGATATAGCACTGTATCAATGTTAATTTCCTAACTTTGTAATTGCACTGTAGTCAAGTAAGAAATGTCTCAGCTTTCAGGAAATACTCACTGGAGTATTCAGGGATAAAGGGGCATCATGCACATAATTTACGCTAAGTGCAGAAAAAAAATATGTACATATTTGTTACCTTTGGGGAATATGAATGAAGAGTATATGGAGGCTGAGGCAGGCAGACTGCTTGAGCTCAGGAATTTGAAACAAGCCTGGGCCACGTGGCAAAACCCCATCTCTACAAAAATACAAAAATCAGCTGGGCATGGTGGTGCAAGCCTGTAGTCCCAGCTACTTGAGGGGCTGTGGCAGGAAAATCACTTGAACCTGGGAGGCTGCAGTGAGCTGAGATCGTGCCACTGCACTCCAGCCTGGGTGACAAAGTGAGATCTCGTTTCAAAAAACAAAAGAGTAGGCCAGATACATACAGTGGCTCACATGTGTAATCCTAGCACTTTGGGAGACCGCAGCAGGTGGATCACTTGACCTCAGGAGTTCAAGACCAGCCTGGGCAACATAGTGAAACCCCATTTCTACAAAATATATTTAAAAATTAGCTGAGCATGGTGACTCCCACTAGCTACTTGGGGGGCTGAGGCGAGAGGATCACTTGAGCCCAGGAGGCAGAGGTTGCAGTGGGCTGAGATCATCCCACTGTACTCCAACCTGAGCAACAGAGTGAGACCCCCATCTCAAATAAATAAATAAACAAACAAATAAAATGAAATATATGGTTTAAAAAAGAGACAGTTTGGCATTGGCATAAAGAAAAATACACATATCAATGGAACAGAGAAGAGAGTATAGAAATAAACCCACACATATTGTCAATTAATTCTCAACAAGGAGTCAAAATGATTCAATGAGAAAAGGGAAGTCTTTTTTTTTTTTAAAGTATTTTCAGTCAGGTGCAGTGGCTCAGGCCTGTAATCCCAGTACTTTGGGATGCCGAGGTGGGAGGATCACTTCAAGCTCAGGAGTTCAAGACCAGCCAGGCAATGTAGGGAAACCCCATCTCTACAAAAATTTTTTTTTTGTTTTGAGATGGAGTCTCGTTCTGTCACCCAGGCTGGAGTGCAGTGGCGTGATCTCGGCTCACTGCAAGCTCCGCCTCCCGGGTTCATGCCATTCTCCTGCCTCAGTCTCCCCAGTAGCTGGGACTACAGGCGCCCACCACCACGCCTGGCTAATTTTTTGTATTTTCAGTAGAGACAGGGTTTCACTGTGTTAGCCAGGATGGTCTCAATCTCCTGACCTTGTGATCCGCCCGCCTCGGCCTTCCAAAGTGCTGGGATTACAGGCGTGAGCCACCACGCCTGGCCAAATTTTTAAAAAAAATCAGCCGGGCATGGTGGCTCACACCTATAGTCTCAGCTACTCAGGAGGCTGGGGCTGGAGAATCCCTTGAGCCTGGGAAATGGAGGTTGCAGTGAGCCAAGATCATGTCACTGTACTCCAGCCTGAGCAACAGAGTGAGACTCTGTCTCAAAATAAATAAAATAAATCAGCATTGTCAACAAACATATAAAAAAGATACAGAAAAGGGCCAACCATAAGGGTCTTTATAAGAAAGGAAGGCTGGGTGTAGTGGCTCATGCCTATAATCCCAGCACTCTGGGAGGCTGGGGTGGGTAGATTGCTTGAGTCCAGGAGTTTGAGACCAGCCTGGGCAACACAGTGAAACCCTGTCTCTACAGAAAATAACAAAAGTTAGCCAGGAGTGGTGGTGTGCACCTGTAGCCCCGGCTACTTGGGAGGCTGAGATGGGAGAATCACTTGAACCTTGGAAGCAGAAGTTGCACTGAGCTGAGATCATGCCACTGTACTCCAGCCTGGGCAACGGAAATGAAATCCTGTCTCAAAAATAAAAAAAGTAAAAGAAAGATGGGCGCAGTGGCTCACACCTGTAATCCCAGCACTTTAGGAGGCTGAGGAGGGCAGATCAGGAGGTCAGGAGTTCGAGACCAGCCTGGCCAATATGGTGAAACCCCATCTCTACTAAAAATACAAAAAAAAAAGTTAGCAGGGCATGGTGACAGGCACCTGTAGTCCCAGCAACTCAGGAGGCTGAGGTAGAAGAATCACTTGAACCTGGGAGGCAGTGGTTGCAGTAAGCCGAGATTGCGCCACTGCACTCACTCCAGACTGGGCGACAGAGTGAGACTCTGTCTCAAAAAAAAAAAAAAAAGAAAAAAAAAAAGAAGGCAAGAGAGTCAGAGTTGGAGAAGTGACAATGGAAATGGAAGCAGGCATTAGAGGGACAGGAGTGCTGGCTTTGATGAAGGAAGGGCCACAAGCTGAGGAGGGCAGATGGACTCTAGAAGCTGAAATAGGCAAGGAAATAGATTCTCCCCTAGAGCCTCCAGAAGAAACACGGCTCTGCCCACACCTCGATTTTAGCCCAGTAAGAGTGATTTTAGACTTCTGACCTCCAGAATAGTCAGATAATACATTTGTGTCACTTTAAGCCATGATCCAAATTTGCTCTCTTCCCTGATGTGCAGTTTACCACCCCGTGTCTGCCTTCTGTCTCCTCCGTACACTGGTGATCCTCCAGAGGGCAGCAATCAGGTGTGACTCACATCTGCCCCATGTCTTCCCAGCCCCAGCCCCTGGGGGAGACGGTGATGCAGGCATGAGGGGCAGAGGTCAGTATGGGATCCATCTCATAGCCCTGCTTACCTCATAGTCTTGCTCCCCAGCGCCTCCAGCTGAACTGCCCACCAGCACCTCCACAAAAGCTGAGCCATCATTCCCAATGTCCACACTGTGTATCTGCTCCTCCTTCTCCAACTGTGGGCAGAGAGAGAAGCCACTGTCAGTGCCTGCTCTGCCCCTGGGCTCACTGTGGGACCTCAGGATGAATTTCCTTTGGATCACCATGTCCCTGTAACGTCAACTCTGTGAGGGAGCACACCAGGGTTGACTGGTGCCATGAGTCCCCTCCACGCAGCATAGGGTATGGCATGGAGCAGGAATTGACAAAACAGTCACTGAATGAATGCACACGCCCCCACCCCACACATACCTGCTTCCCTGACCTCTCCAGACTCCACCACGTCAGCCTATCATACGCCACCATGGAGCTCTCCTTGGTAAGCACTTGTCAGAGTTATAACTTTATTCAAATCATCATGCAGACAAACAGCACATGTCACCCCTCACCCACAATTGCAGAGGACTCCAGGAAACCTCCCTGAGAGCAGGGGCTTTGTCCAATCTTGCTCACCACTAGTTCCTGGGTTTGAATCCCAGCTCTGCTGCACACTAGCTGTATGACCATGCCAGTTAACCTTTTGGAGCCTCAGTTTTCTCACCTGTAAAATGGGAATGACCACCATATCTAGGATCATGCACATAAATAATGGCCACAGGGCATGGTGAGGAGTAGGCAATTAACCACTGTCAGTCAGGAGGTATTATTAGTCAGTGCTTGACAACTCTTTGTTGAAAGAAGAAAAGAGCTACCTATAGGAGGCCTCATCTCAAAGGATCTGCCATTCCGGTCTGACAGATGAAGATGCAGAAAGCCATGTGGGCCATGTGGGCATGGGAGGCAGTTAGGTTGAGGCAAGTGTCCTACCTTCCAGTTTGGGGCTCTTTTATTAGGATCCTAGAATGACACATTATTGCAACTCTCAAAGGTATCTAGGCCAGGTGCAGTGGCTCAAGCCTGTAATTTCAGTACTGTGGGAGGCCAAGGCAGTGGATCACTTGAGGCCAGCCTGGCCAACATGGCAAAACCCTTCTCTACTAAAAATATAAAAATTAGCCGGGCATGGTGACGTATGCCTGTAGTCCCAGTTCTTCAAGAGGCTGAGGCATGAGAATCTCTTGAACCTGGGAGGCAGAGGTTGCAGTAAGCAGAGATCGTGCCACTGCACTCCAGCGAGACTCTGTCTCAAAAAAAAAAAACAAGGTACTTAGTCCACCACCCTACACTGCCCTCTCCTCCCACCCGTGATGATGACAGATGCTCCAATCTGCTCTGTTGCCTCCCTGTCAGATCATCTAGACATCACCTGCACACTGCTATCAACAGGAACACCATCGTATGGGAGGAAGGAGCCTGGACTTGGGGTGAGGTAGGCCTGGGCTCAAATACAGCAATGCCACTTCCAACCTATACAACCTTGGGTGACCTAGTCAACGTCTCTGTGAGGCAGTTTCCTCACATGCAAAAAGGGAAGATGGTCATAACAACCCTCCTTCCTTGGCCAGGCACAGTGGCTCACATCTGTATAAGCAGCACTTTGGAAGGCTGAGGTGGGAGGATCACTTGAGGCCGAGAGTTCAAGACCAGCCTAGGCAACATAGCCAGACCTTGTCTCTACAAAAAATACAAAAATTAGCCAGGCATGGTGGCATATACCTGTGGTCCCAGCTACTCAGGAGGCTACGGCGGGAGGATCACTTGAGCCAGGGAAGGTCAAGGCTGCAGTGAGTCGTGCTCGTATCACTGTACTCTGGGCGACAGAGTGATGAGACCTTGTCTCCAAAAAAAAAACTTACCCTCCCTCTGAAGTAAGTTCAGATGACACACAGAGTTAACAACTATAACCACAACTGCGGCCAACATCCGAGTGCACTCAGTGCTCCTGGTATGCCAGACTCTTGCTAATAATACATGTATCTACTCTCCTGCAACGGCTCTGCCAGGCAGTTGCTATAATTATCTCCATCTTACACATGAGCAAACGGAGGCAGGAAGTGATTATGTAACTTCACAGCTGGTGGGTGGCAAAGCCGGACCGGAACCCAGAAAGGCTGGCGACAGTCCATGCGTGCTCCTCCATCACACCACTAGCGTGCTGGAGAAGGAAGATGGTGCTGGAGGAAGGGCCTGCCTAAGGCTGAGGCCGGCAGACCTCCTGCTGACTCCCCTGCCTCCACCGCCACTCCCAGCCCTGGGCCCTGGGCAGTGTACAGTGCTGCCTGGGCTCATGAGAAGTCCCAGTCTGGGCCGGGTGCGGTGGCTCACACTTGTAATCCCAGCACTTTGGGAGGCTGAGACAGATGAATCGCTTGAGGTCAGGAGTTTGAGACTAGCCTGGCCAACATGGTGAAACCCCGTCTCTACTAAAAATACAAAAATTAAAATTAGCAGGGCATGGTGGTGAGCGCCTGTAATCCCAGCTACTGGGGAGGCTGAGGCAAGAGAATCACTTGAACCCGGGAGGCGGAGGTTGCAGTGAGCCGAGATTGTGCCACTGCACTCCAGCTTGGGCAATGGAGCGACACTCTGTCTCAAAACAACAACAACAACAAAACAAACAAACAAACAAAAAAAACAAGAAGTCCCAGTCTGACTGCTTAGCCTCTGGCCAGGCTTTGTGACTCTTCACCAGCCACAACAGCCTCCCTTCTGTGCCAAGAACAGTCTGGCTCCTTCCCACCTCAGGGCCTCTGCACCTGCCAATCCCCCTGTCTGGACCACTTTTCTCTCAAACATACCCATAGCTGGGTAAAAGTTTACCTTCTGTGCTTCAGGTGCCCACTCAGATGTCACTTCAGACCGTAAGTAGCCTACCTCGCCCCCTACCCGGTGCCACTCTCTATCTCCCTACCCGACTTTACTTTTCTTCATGTTTACTGCCTGGTGTTACACAGTTACATCTTTTTTGTTTGTATTTGTCTAGCATCTGTCTCTCCCGCTAGACTTTTAAGCTCCACGAGAGCAAGGACAATGTCTGAGTTGCTCCCTCCTGTGTCCCCAAGGCCAAGAATAGTGTCTGGTCCTTCCCAGCTCTGCTGATTTCCTGCTGTGTGATCCTGGAGCAAATGGTTTCACTTCACCCCTTCTGCCTCAGTTTCTGAACCTGTGAAATGGGGACAGTAAAAACGCCTACCTCATAAAGTTGTTGATAACATTCAAATTCATACCAAGAATGAGAAATAACATACCAAGTGCCTGGAATACTGCCTGGCACAGAGCAAATACTATATAAATGTCAGCTGTGAATATCATTAACACAGCAGGCCTCTAGTGCATTCCCAATGGATGGACAGACAGACGCAGAAGAGGCCCCCAGCGACCGTTTGCAGAAGTTACTACTCAAGAGTTACTAAGCTGTAACTCTGGCTCTGTCCTCCCTTACCAGGTGGCCCTGTTGAACCCCTTCTCTGATGCTTGCTTGGGTGTCCCATCTGTCACAAGTGGATCATCATGGCTAACATTTTCAGATTCTCACCATGTGCCAAGTGCTTGGTGTATGAGTTTCCTGTTACTTGTACAAATTAGCAGAAACTTCGTGGCTAAAAACAACACAAATTTGGCCAGGCGCAGTGGCTCACACCTGTAATCCCAAAACTTTGGGAGACCGAGGTGGGCGGATCACCTGAGGTCGGGAGTGCGAGACCAGTCTGACCAACATGCAGAAACTCTGTCTCTATTAAAAATACAAAATTAGCCAGGCGTGGTGGCCCATGCCTGTAATCCCAGCTACTCGGGAGGCTGAGGCAGGAGAACTGCTTAAAACTGGGGGGCGGAGGTTGCAGTGAGCTGAGATCGCACCACTGTATTCCAGCCTGGGCAAGAGGAGCGAAACTCCATCCCCCCCTCAAAAAAAAAAAACCCATAAATTTGTTATCTTATAGATCTGGAGGTCAAAAGTCTGAAACTGGGCCTTACAGAGCTAAAATCTAGATGCGGCAGGGCTGCGTTCCTTCCTTCCGAGAGCACTAGAGGAGAATATGTCTCCTTGCATGTTCAGCTTCTCGAGGCCACCTGCCTTCCTTGGCTCACAGTCCCTTCCTCGTCTTCAAAGCCGCTGAAAGCGCTGGCATCACTCCAGGCTCTGCTTGCATCTTCACAGCTCTGGTTCCAGCACTCTTGCCTCCCTCTTTCCCTTATAAGGCTTCCGGGGGTTACATGAGGTCCACTGGATAACCCAGGGCACTCTCCCCATCTCAAGATCCTTAATTTAATCAAACCCACAAAGCTCCTTTGGTCATTAAAATATTTCCAGGTTCTGGGGACGAGGACATGAACATCTTTTGAGCGCCACCGTTCTGTCCACCACACTTGGCTAAGCATGCACCAGGCATCACTGAAGCCTCAAAACCACTTTAAGTAGAAGGGTCTGTTACGACTCCAGTTTCACAGATGGGGAAACTGAGGCTCAGACAGGTTAAATCAATAGCTTACATGGCACACAAGCTAATAACTAGCAGAGTACTTCGGACCCAACTGCCTGACTGCAAAGTACTGCCCAATACCACCACTGTTCTCAACTCCTTTCCTTCCATCCCTGAGTCAAACTCAACATCTTTACCTCTCCCACAATATTAAGCACAGCTCCTAAATCTGGTAGGATGGAGATGCTTGTATTTTAAATGAATGATTCCTACTGCATATATAACTATTTTTACTTTAAACATGCACAGGCACTCCCTGACATTTCTTCTTCATATATAAAAAAAACTCCTGGCTACGAGCAGTGGCTCACGCCTATAATCCCAGCACTGTGGGAGGTGGAGGCGGGAGAATCACTTGAGGCCACGAGTTCAAGACCAGCCTGGCCAACATAGCAAAACCCTGTCTCTACCAAAAATACAAAAAGTTAGCTGGCTGTGGTGACAAACACCTTGATAGTCGCAGCTACTCAGGAGGCATGAGAATTACTTGAACCTGGGAGGTGGAGGTTGCAGTGAATTGAGATGAGCCACTATACACCAGCCTGGGCAGGTGACAGAGTGAGACTCTGTCTCAAGAGAAAAAACAACAGGCTGGGCACGGAGGCTCACACCTGTAATCTCAGCACTTTGGGAAGCCAAGGCAGGCAGATCACTTG